CAAACCATGTTTATAATGATCCTTTTATACATAAATAATGATTGACGACATAATTCGATCGAGAAATTAACTGGAATGTTTTATTTTTGGACATACATGATAGTTCTAAAATTGTGCTATCCGTCATTCGGTTGCCCCCTTACGAGCAACCCTCAGAAGTCTTCGAAAGTCTTGTGCGAGCAAGGAATGACGGGGGCCTTACCTTTTAACGTGTGATCCCAAACACTTTCTTAGGCCATCAGAAGAAGTCTGCGTTCGTGGGACTCGAACCCACGATCGATACCTCGACGTGAATCGATATTGAAGCATCTAAGCACTGAGGTACGCCGGCCGGCAGTACCTTCTGAAAACGACCCTCTTATGACGTAGAAACCTCATCTCGCCATTCTCGCCATATATAGTTAAAAGTAAATACCAAACGCCCGACGGAGACTGTCAGAAATCATGTATCATTCATCTCTGTCTGGACGAGTCTTGTTTCAGTATTAGGGTTTTGACGTCACATCACCGCCTCGTTTTCAGAGGTCCGAAAAATCGGGGATTTCAATAATTTTGTATAAAACGTAGAGAGCTCAGAGCAAGAAACGGTTTGCGGTGGTGAGCTAGTTTGGGTGAGTTCTATCGAATTAGGGAATAAAAATTCTTTGTGATATAAGCCCATTTCTTCTGGATTCCTTTCATTACTGAAAGGAGATTGATGGTGTTTTTGTCAGATTTCATCGAATTTGTTTCACTCATTTCTGAGCAGCGAACAGAAATGTGTTTTTTATGTTAACTTATGTTATTTTGACCTCTTTTTTTATCGCTTGGAGCGCACGAAAGGAAATCCCTATAATGTTCAAAGAACATCGTGTATGTTCCAAAATATTGAATTCGTTTATTAATATTTGGAAAATGGATGGAACATAGGTACTTAACTCACTTGAAACTTGATGAAATAATCGTGATGGATAACATGGGGTTTGAGGAAATGCAATCTTAATTTTATCGAATGGGACGAGAGCACGTTCTATTCCAACTCAAATCGAAATATGGAAATTTCCTAGAATATTTCCGTTTCCTTCCTTCCTTCCGCTGTTCTAACTAGAATTATGGCAATCGTGTGGTAAATATCTCATATGCACAGCACAGACTCAGGCTCCACGAATTCGGATAATATAATATACTTTCGTAAGTTGAAAGCAGATCATTCTGATGTTGATTGCTGGTATTAGCATTAGGCGAACCCAGATTTTCGTATTCAGTATTCATGTCATTAGCGAATACAGAGCTGTGCAAACTCTGGCGTATCTCAAAGTTGGGAGTTTTGGAGGAGTAAGTATCTATTCTGCGGTTTCAGTGTTTTCTTCGCGAAACTGAAATCCAGCGAAGAACGTGACACTACTTATGCTTAATCTCATAATAAGGTACGGGGTGATTGTCTATATTTCACTCAATAGCTATGTCAGTTGATATTTGTCTTACAGGAACGTTCAAATGGGCAGAAATTAAGTATTTTTTATGGGCATTTTGAATGTTGTATACTAGAAAATGCAAAAAACATCGTAAACCTGAAAATTTCACGTAAACTGGTATTTTACAAATGGGACACCCTGTATTTCATTCTTCTAATCGATAGATTGATTTCAAATATATATACAGGGTGTCTGTAAAAGGTTGGGATATGGCTCGGCTGTAGACTCCTGGGATAAAAACAAGTTGATTTAGGCCAACTTACCTATATCCAAAATCGTCTCGTTGCACCGCCTCAAATCAGGAATTATTTATTTGCAAATTAACACGATACAAAAAATATTTCTGAAGGGAATTTCTTTCTGGAAACAAACTGGAAATTATCATCAAATTTGTACGGCAACATGGTTGTTTAAAACATTTGCAGGTCACTGATATAAGATCAAATACACCTCAAAACGTGACTTGCAGTCACAGAACATGCCATGCCAAAAATTATGAAAATCGATCTCAGCCTACTCTTTTTACGAACAAAATTATTTTTTTCTAAAAAAACTTCAACGCCTCTTGTACCAACTCAACGAGACGATTTTGGATATAGGTAAATTGGGCTAAATCAACTCGTTTTTATCCCAGGAGTCCACAGCCGAGCCATGTCCAAACCTTTTACAGACACCCTGTTTATACTTCAGTAAGGTTATCTTTCTCACTTTTCGAAAAATGTAGATTTCAAGACAGCTGTAGAACGCCAGAAATGGTAGCATTGTCGTCTGGCGTTCAACAGCTGCCTTGGATCTATACCAAAAAATCTATATTTAATATTTTTCAAAAACTGGAAGAATTGGCGAGTGTGGCATCACCAACTAGGTGAATGGCTCGTGTCTGGATGGAATCTATGGAAACCAGCGTATGTTTGGGTGCAGAACTCCATATATGTGAGAACAATATTCTGAAACGAGCCGTATCTGTGCTTTATAGATCATGAAAAGTTCCCAGTTAACACAGATTGATCATAGAGATATTAGATGGCATCACATTTATGCCACACATCACATCCTTGACTCGAACTGAGAGTCACACTAAAATCACAATGACTTGATTTTTCAACATATTTTGCATTAACATGTTGAGAACGGGAGCAGAATCGGTCCCGAAACGTCCAAATATAAGGAAAAATTCGATATGTTTCCAATATATCTATATTTCTTTCCTTCAAACATTTTTTTAAACAAATTGTCACTGACAAGCTACTGGATTTTTCTTTTGGACTCCTTGATAGAAACATTTGTTAAACGCAGTGATCTTTTGGGGCAAATCATTTGATTTGTCCCTCTACAAATATATTGAAATAATACGAATACTTTTATTTTATAGAAACGAGGAGAGAAAATCCCAAAGAATCAAGTAAAATGAATGTTTCTCTTGTCTTGAGAAAAAGTCAAGAAATTTCAAAAAAATCTTGTTTTTTACGTTTTTCTTGACATACCATTTCTTGTCTTGACTAAAGAAATTTCAAGATCTTGATCTTCTATAAAATAAAAGTATTCGTATCATTTCAATATATTTGTAGAGGGACAAATCAGATGATTTACCCCAAAAGATCACTGCGTTTAACAAATGTTTCTATCAAGGAGTCCAAAAGAAAAATCCAGTAGCTTGTCAGTGACAATTTGTTTAAAAAAATGTTTGAAGGAAAGAAATATGAATATATTGGAAAAATATAGAATTTTTACTTATATTTGGACGTTTCGGGACCGATTCTGCTCCCGTTCTCAACATGTTAATGCAAAATATGTTGAAAAATCAAGTCATTGTGATTTCAGTGTGACTCTCAGTTCGAGTCACGGATGTGATGTGTGGCATAAATGTGATGCCATCTAATATCTCTGGGATCAATCTGTGTTAACTGGGAACTTTTCATGATCTATAAAACACAGATACGGCTCGTTTCAGGATATTGTTCTCACATATATGGAGTTCTGCACCCAAACATACGCTGGTTTTAATAGATTCCATCCAGACACGAGCCATTCACCTAGTTGGTGACGCCACACCCGCCAATTCTCCCAGTTTTTGAAAAATATAGATTTTTTGGTATAGATCTAAGGCAGGTGTTGAACGCCAGACGACAATGCTGCCATTTCTGGCGTTCTACAGCAGCCTTAAAATCAACATTTTTCGAAAACTGAGAAAGATAACCTTACTTGATTGATCTGTGAAACCTCACATGTTGATTCCCCGGCGAACTTCTTATTGCGTTGCGTGCCAGGATTGCCATCTCGATTTTTATTTCATCAGTAGATATAACTTGTCAGAAATTCAGTAGATTCTAGTAGATTTATTTTGTGCTATACAAATTTCAGGATGATGAAATGAACCAGGGCCTACTGTAAGATAGAGTAGGCCCTGAATGAACCCATGAAGTCAAAATATATGTATTTTTCTGTGACGGGAAATAGTTTGACAGCTTATCTATGTTGACAGGTAACAAAATATCATTATTCATAAAATTATTTTTCCAGCGAAAAAAGTGAGAAATTTTTTACCAACATATTGAGCGCTTAAACGCATTCGAATTTATAATCAGTGGCGCCAGAAAATTTATTTACAGAGCGTGCCCATAAAAGTGGCTACGAAATTTAAAAAAAAATTGTATGTTTTAATGAAAATAACTGCAAAGCATTGAGTTTGTGATAGCAATTATTCCTATATCTTGTTCAAGAATATAACTTGTTCTTTTTGAAGGAAAAGTTCTATTTCGAAACTAGGTATATGGTGACTGATTTCAGTGACTGAGGATCAATTTTCATGACAAATACATTGCTTTGGAAATGTTTTTAAGGAAACGAAGAATTTTTGGCAAAAAAAAGAGTTCCAGCCACTTTTCGAAAATTTATATTTTTGAAAAACACCTTGTAACTCTGAAACTAAGATTGATATTGATATGCAGTTTCCACCATTGAGTTTGTCATGCGAGTTGATCAACAGTTACCAACATCAGTTCTGTTCTATCTGGTACGGAAATAGGACTTTTCCTTTAGAAGTGTCCAATCTGGCCCACCCTGTACGAATCATGCAATTTTTTTCAAATTTGCTTTCAAGTTTCACCATTTTCTCTGAGAATCGATAACTCAGTAATTTTTCAATATTTACAGTCAGTGCGCAAAACAATTGATCCTTCTTTAGTATTTCTTGGTGATTGAGGAATACGTTTAGAAATTTTCCAGATTGGGAAAACATTTGGGAAAGTTCATCACTAATCTCAAAGTAGCAAGTACCTTACTTTTCCATAGTTCGCCATGTTGCCATTTTGTTCACTACACTTTTCAGATTACAGAAAAAATATGCCTTGGAAACATGAATATTTTAGACTTGTCCTCATTTTCCAAAAGTTATATTACTGAAATTTTGTTGCTGAAATTCGGTCAACGTGTTCGAAATAAGAAGGATGTTATTCCTATATCTATGAGTAGAGTAGGAAAATTGGGGGTATTCAAGCGAGTAGGCCCTGATTCAAGTATACTTACTCGAATATGTCGTTCAATAACTTCGTAATAATATGAAAAATATATTTATTTAAAAACAATCTACAAATAAAAACCTGGTAGAATGTACATTTAACATAGCTAATACTAAAATACTAAAAAAATAATAAAAATTGAACTCTCAGTACGAATGATTTTTTTTTCTGAAAAATCTTTGGCTTCCTGAAAAATTCTATACACCATCTCCATCTATGCTGCTCATTCTTCATTGTCGCCAATATTTGATGGGGCTCTTCCTGCAACGGCACTATTTTCTGCGCAGTACTGGATGAAACTGGACCAATATTTGTCAGTTTTCAATACATTCGCATTGCCGACTATCACCAGCAAAGCTCTGGCCCTAGTAAGTGCCACATTGAAACGCTGAAAAAATTAAAATGAGAATTAAATAAAAAATCGGACATAACCTCAACTTTTATTTCTGAAAAGGAAGGAAAATTTTACAAAATAGTATTATACCTATATTACGTCTATTTAATGTGACATCTCGAACGAAACGAACTATACGTAAATCTTGATTATTTCAGTAGTAATGAACACAAGCAGATGATGAATTTTTGACATCTAGTTGTTGTTCAAATAAAAAATTAGCAACAACTTTGTTATTACAAATAGAACACCCTGTATTTCATCACATTTTTAGATTTCCCCTGAAGAGCTGATTTAATAGATATATCACTTGAGGTCTATCGAAAAAGATTACAGAGATAAAGGGTGTTCAAAATCAAGATTTTGCAACTTTAGAATTGTTTTGTGTCGAAACTATTCATTATCGGTGAAAACGGCCCCAAAATGTCACTGCTTAAAGATGTTTTCTATCAGAGAGCCTATAAGAAAAATTCACTAGCTTGTCAGTGACAATTTGAATTGAAAAAAGTTTGGAGAAGAGAAATAAAGGTATATAGAAAAAATATCAAATTTTTACTACACGTACACGGTATATTGAAATAATAATAATAATAAATGATTTTATTGAGTCAGCATAAATGTACAACAGGTATTATTATACATATATGTTTCTCAAACGGCAGAGTTCAATTTCACGATTAGATCGCAAATTGCTCTTCCACTCAACCGTAATAAGGAGTTCATCCATTGATATGAATGAGCTCCTTCCTATTCTAAATATTTATGTACATTTCCTAAATAGTTATGATATTATTCTATATATACATAATATTCACACAAACCTTTATACAAGTTCTATTTTTTCAAATTGAAGTTGGGGCTTTCAAACAAATACTTTTTAATTTGTTTCTTGAAGTTTGGGAGGCTACAGCTATTGAATTCGAATGGAATGTTATTGAGAATTTGGGAGATTTGAAAAGAGAAAGAAGATCTGAACTGCACAGTTTTATGGATAGGTAGTGTTAACGAAGCTTTATGTCGAAGATTCAGATTATGAACATCTGTCCTAAATTTTATTTTTCTGTGAAGGTATTTTGGTTTCTGTGAGATTATTATTTTCTTTAAAGAAAGAGGAATGTAGAAGCCTTCTATTCTTCATGCTGAGCCATCCGATATCCCTTAGATTATCCGAAACATGAACTCGTCTACTCAAGCCACATATGATTCGGACGCATGAATTTTGCAATTTCTGAATATGGAAGCTATCAGTACTAGTTAGGGCAGGGCCATAAACAACATCTGCATAGTTGAGATGAGACAGCACCAGAGCTTCACACAGGACCCAGCGAGCACAAAAACATCTCAGAGATGTTAAAAGTACGAGATTTCGAGACATTGAACCTCCACTGCGATGTTCTGTTCACACATGAATAGAACTATTATAGAACAGAACAGCCAATGTCCGCCGCAGTCGGCAATTATCGAGATGTCCTTGATATGTCACAAAACGACCTTCTCCCTAGTTCTTTTCAAAGCCTTTTCATGGACACAACAGAACATTTTCAACGCGTCTTGCGCACATTAAATCGCTGTAGAAAACCATTTTCGAGGTACTTTTCTGAAGCCTTTTGTCAAAATGAACTTTTGCATTAGGATTCCATTTCCCTCGAATGAAAAAATGCATTGAAAATAGATTGAACATAAAAATATTTTCTTGATATAAAATTACCTTCTTAATCGGTTTCTGAGTAGTGCTTACTACACACAGACATATAATTGGAAATAGGTTTCCCAATTTTTGAAATGTTCTCCACAATGCATAATTTTGCAACTGCGGAAAAGCTGTGTATTGATGAATTCGTACTTTTATATATTGATCACACTGAGGCACCGAGCAACACATCTTGCATCTGATGGTCATTATTACAAACTAAATAAGTCTTCTAACACAATAAACTTCACCAAATTCCTTTCTGTTCGTTAGCTGCAGCGTGATGTAAGCGTGACACGCTGCAAACGCGAATGCCAATTGCTAACAAGAAGAACAAAATCGAAAACAAAGAAAACAAAAACAAAGAAAGGGCACAAAAGAACAAAAACAATACTCTCAATATCCTTCTAAGACATCTTTGGGAAGTGCATATTACGCCTCAAAAAAACATCCTCATGCCTACATTTCTAAAACATCCCGAAACATCCCAGGGATACCTCTCAGTAGGCAAACAAAGAAATGCCACAGAAGAACAAAAATAATACTTCAATATCCTTCAAAGACCTCTTTGGTCAGTGCATATTACGTCTCAAAATAACATCTTCATGCCAACATTTTCAAAACATCCCAAAACATTCCAGGGATGTTTGTGCTCGCTGGGGATAATTCTTAGTTTTCTGCTCAGAATGGACCGATTAGCATAAAGGTTTTTCGGATTGCCAAACCCGCTAAGAACAATTTAACTCTACTACTACTTAAATAATATTTATATTTTCATTTTATAGAAACGTGGAGAGAAAATCCCATGAAATCTGTAATAATGAATGTACCACCTCCTCGATCAACCTACAGACAGTAATAAACAGAAATGTTTCTTGGGTAAATAAAGACAATCAATCAATCACCCAATATTATTATTTAGTCCAGTAGGTATACCGACTTTGTACTCACCTTGGGATTTTTGAGGAAGCCCAATTGACACACCCTATCGATCTCCTCGAACTTGTGGCAATTTTTCGATCTGACCGTGGACACGATGACGACGAGCTTCTCTTTCCCCTGGAATTGCTCCACCGATCCCACCAGGATCTTTCCCCAGCCCTTCTTCGAGCAAGCTGCTCGCAATTTTTCAGCCTGAAATATTTCGCTAATTACATGGAGTCGAAAGATGAACTTAACGTTATTGCGAAGGGATCTTTAATGGCCGCCAGGGGTGTCATTTCGGTTTTGCCACCAGAACGTGTCGGATCGGAATGGATAAAGTTGTTTCAGAGTTATTTTCATCGATGTTTGTTGTGAGATTTACGTTCCTATGCCTCTTTAAGCTCGATTTATACACAACGTGATGAGCAATTTGAGCAAGGTAGATTATAGGTCCTTCTGTGTAGTAGTGTCACGAAAGGATATTCGCAAATATTATACTATTATAATTATTTCACTGTTCAAATTTATCGAGTTTGTTATATTTCTCAGCAATGGGCGTGTACACCTTAGTAGAACTTTTAACTCAAACCATGTTTATAATGATTCTTTTATACATAAATAATGATTGACGACATAATTAGATCGAAAATTTAACTGGAATATTTTATTTTTGGGCCTAAATAATAGTACCTTCTGAAAACGGACCCTCTTATGACGTAGAAACCTCATCTCGCCATAGTTAAAAGAAAATACCAAACACCCGACGGAGACTGATATATCAATTCTTTCAATTGTGATCTCGCGCTAATTCACTCTGTCAGAAATCATGTATCATTCATCTCTGTCTGGAATAGTCTTGTTTCAGTATTAGGGTTTTGACGTCACATCATCGCCTCGATCGTTTTCAGAGGTCCGAAAAATTGGGGATTTCAACAATTTTTTAATAAAACGTAGGGAGCTCACAGCAAGAAACGGTTTTCGGTGGTGAGCTAGTTTGGGTGAGTTCTATCGAATTATGAAATAATTTTTTTTTTATATAAGCCCATTCAACTGTCCTCATTCGTAACAAAACATTTTTCAATAAAATGAACATTTGAGGGGATCAATCATAATCCTGCACGTACCAAGAGGGACTTGACTTTTGGTCCGAATAGCGAACGGATGCTTGTGGCAACGGGGATGTCCCAATTGGGACAACAAAGTTGTATTCATTCAGGTTCCTGGAGTCAAGTCCTGTTTATAAATCTGTTTAGTATATAAATCTTCAGGAGGTATAATAGCCAATGGAGTAAGGTGCGTGCCAGATAAGCTAAAGGTCCCGGGTTCAATCCTTACTCGACCTACATTTTTGTCCTTTTGTCGAAGGGATGTCCCTGGGATATCCTTGAGACGTCCTAGGGATATCCTTTCTTCGTACTTGGTATATCCCAGGTACGTACCAGAAGGACATCCCTTGGATGCCTTTTTGACGGCAAGCAGATGTCCCTGGGACATCCCTAGTATGTACAGTGGGGCTTAAATTAAAAGTAACGACTTCTGTGAAAATCCCTTTAAAATTTCAGTTTATGCACCCAGACTAATATCTATTCCAACCGCCCGCTGTTTCAATCACTTATTTCTTATGGTGAGTTGTGGTACGAGATAGTCAGATATCTGAATATTTCTAAGATTTGGGGTTAATATTCACATCGCTAGAGTAATATTTTATGCTTCATCTTATGAAGCTGACTCATGGTTATTCATTGTTTGATTCTAGTTGATTCTACACTGATAAAAATACCCGATTGGTGACAAAAGAATGATGCTTTTAGATTTTTTTCTCTCCTGACAAAGACAATTTCTTCCTTTCAAAAACATTGCTCTCATCTGCAGATTATTGCTGTTTTTGTAATAAGGTTTTGAATCTTTTGGCTGTAAACGCTTTTGAGAGAACATCATCGACCTTGTCTCTAGTCCTGCTTGGTTTGCATCTACCTCAAGATCACAAGACTTTGATACAAGATCTGAAATCGTTCGGTTGAGACCGTTGATGAGATCGAGTCCACCCGAGGTTAACCGAAAACATACCGACTCCGTTTGAGTCATGCGCAATGCATGGGTCGACCCCATCTTTCCATCATCCTTCTTCTTCTGCATCGTGCCACAGATCGTGCCGAGTACCGTCCCGTTGACAATGCATTTTAGCGGCCATTTCTGTCGTGTTGCGTTGTGCTGTGGATCATGAGCGATTCAGTAGAGTTTGAAAAACTTCTAGATGCGAGGCGTTTGAGCCATATGATGCAAACATTTCAAGGTAAGTACCCACCTATACTTATTTTAGTAGATAGGTATTTCATCATCATATAAAATGTTTCATGTGTTATTTTATAAAATATATGAGTTTTTTATCAATGATTGTTTTTTCAGGATTTCCACAATTCTTCGCCCAAGGATAAATAAGAAGCTAAAACAAGTTGATGGGATATTTTGATTTCCAAGTATATTTCAACCAATGCAAAACGTTTTTTTGTCAGAATATCAACAGACCAATAATGGGGTTTTGTTAAGGATTCATAATATGATCCTCAAAATGTTTATAGAAATCAATTGAAATTCTAATTATTATTTCAACATTTTACAGGAGTATCCTCTCAAGAAATCTCCAGAGAATTTGCATCAAGATCATATACATTTTGTTCCAAGACCATAAGATATTGGATCAAACATTTGCTGTATTTACAGCGAAGCTCTATATTCCAATACAATTATATTATATCTTTCATCTTAAATCTCATAACTTTGAAATGATATCTTAATGATTTTGACCAAAAATCATTGTTCATTATGAAAAGTTCAGGGTATTTTGCTATAAACTCATATATCATTGGGCTAAAGAAATCATGGCATCTACCTCAACATTCCTCATAAGTTGGGAAAACTACGATTTTAAGCCAAAAGCATTAGTTATTAGGGCAAAACCAAAGTTTCTTGCCTCGAATTTATATAATTTCATGCTAAAGAAACTTAGGCGCTTGCCTCAAAGTTTTTGGAATATTGGGTCGAAATGTCCATGCATTCCGCCCTATTCAAATGCTTGGCGCCCTTGAGGTAAAGTCAAATTCCTTCAATCCAAGGAATCCTTTTTATCAGTGTATGGATTGGTAGATATAGTTGAAGTACTTCTTGAATAAAGCGGCATCGGTGAAATTAATTTTTTTTTAAATTGAAGTTTGTCGTTAGTATATCCTTCCATTATTTTCCCACGAAATCATATTTCTTAATCGTTCTTAAGAGTTATTTTTCTCTGAATACCTATTTTTGATATAAGAACTAATAATTCTCATCAGCATGTGCGATATGAAAACGGTATACACATAATTATCTTGAAACGCGAATATCTACCTACTTCCAGAAATTTTATTTTTAAAGTATAATACTTGAGCTTCGATAAATCGTGCAGATAAATTTGAAAAACAGGGTTATTGATCGATTTGATAAAGTTCAGTGTCTCCCATGTCCGTTAATCACAAAAATATTACTTTGCTTCAGAACAGTGTTGTGTCATCAATTTGATATCTCAAAGGACATAATGAACCGAACCGAATAAGTAGACAATATTTCATGATGCATGATTCTATACCTAGAAAATAATGACGGATTCTCATTCAAGATCACTCGGAACATACCTGTACTAATTTTCATCATCATAAAATACAGGGTGTCCGAATTTTTTTTTATTATTTTTTGGTTGATGAAAAAATTGCCTACCCACCCTTTTTGTTTTCTCAGACACATTGTATATTTGAATGATAATAATCGAGGCTGATATGTTTGAAATAGTCCTAAATATCCATTTGACATTAGTTCTTCCCAAACATACCACAGTACTACATTTTCTGATCAAGTATACAAAAAATATATCTATTAATCCGATTTTTCGGACACTCTTTGTTTTATGATGATGAAAATCGGTACAGGGTTACATTGAGTGATCTAGGTTCAGAATCTATCATTAGTTTTAGTGAAAAAATAAAATACCCAATAGTAATTTACGAAATATGGGTCAATAAAATTGGTCGCAGTTGATGGCCACGATAACAGTCCAAGAATAAAATCACTTTTTTTGTTTGATGGATATTTCAAATACCTATACAACAAAAAAAAAAGTTTTTCGAAATCGATCAGATAAGATAATACGGATTTTAGAGGCGGTGGTAAAGTTCTTAAAGTGGACACACTGTATATATAGCACGTGGTCACAGAATATAACATGCAGTGCACTGTTAAATACCAGAATGTTTGATGTGTATTTTTGACTTTTTTTTCAATATAAATAAATAAATTTATTGAATCCTTCATGATCAAAAAATAATACCTTATAATTATAGCCAAGTAAAATAACTATAGAAGTTTTCCACTCATCGATATTTCTTTGTGCTTATTTATTCAACAGTATAAAATGATATTTTGGTTTTGAAATCTATGATCTGCATGCTGATAATAATCACACTGTAGACATCCTTGTTCATGAAATTCATATTTCCGCTCGAAAGAGCATTTTATGTGAACCAGTTCTGCTTTGTAAGAAATCAAGAGTTTCAGTGTTTCAGTTTGAAAAAAAATCATTTTCAAAAATATTCTCAAAAATCGTTATTACTCTGAAACAGTTGAAAATAGTAATGAATTACCTTATATATTTTATGGTTTATATCAGAGTAATATGTAGAATGAATAATGAAAAAAAAAGTGGTGTTCTATTGGAAATAAGGGAATTCTATTTTCTTTCCGTATTCGTAAGTGCGCTATTCCAGATTCATCCTCGGATTTACCCAAAAATTTTCAGAGTTTTATTCAACTCAGCATAATATTGAAAATGAATGGGTTACCTGAATGAACATGAAATCATAAAATTCAGTACTATATCTTTATTGTTTCATTACAATTTTATCGATCTTTTTCTCCTGGTTATACAAAGTGTAATTCAATTGATGGTTAGAAATATAGGATGTAGACATTTTGAGAAAAGTTCATATGAACATAATATATGCCCTGAACCTCTTAACTTTAAAGCAATAGGGTGTTGAAATTTTAAGAAAAAAATTTTCTTATAGTAACTTTGATACTGTTCTAGATATTCTCATAAAATTTGACATGCACCTACTAAGCACTGATGGCCAGTTCGTGTCCGTATGGGATGTGAATACTGGAGATTTTTCTAAAAAATAAATGCAATTCTCATTCCTTTTGCGATAATTTGAGTTACATATTTGAAAATGATGAAACCATTTTGCCAAATTCAATCAACGACTTCACTTCAATAAAAATTAGACAAAAACACATCTTACCTACAAACTACACCACATTGTTTCAGTTGGTGCATGTCAAATTTCATGTGAATATCTAGAATAGTATGTCGAAGTTATCATAAGAAAATGCTTATTTTCATAAAAATTCCAACACCCTATAGCTCGGAAGTTGAGAGGTTTAGGGCATATGTTCATATCAACTTTTCTTCTCAAAATGAGCTGAGGAACCATGTCCTATATTTATAGCCATAAATTGAATTACACCCTGTATAGTTTGAAATTAAATCCCTTCATTCCAAGATTGGATTCTAGTTATAATTAATTATATTATATCGTTCTCAACAAAACTGAATCAAAGTGAAGCAGTCCAGATAAATTCCTATTCCTATATGTAGTTGCCAAAGAAGAACTCTGTCATTGTTATTTTCCGGGTTCGAATAATTATTATTATAACACCTCTAGGTATACCGCTGGGTATACCCTCTAATACCTTTACAGCGCGAACCAGGTCATAAAATGCTAATGAGGGAAACGGTTCGTTCCTAGGCAATGAATAGTACATGTGCATAGACAAAAATATTTCAATTCGACCAAGAGTCGTTACTTTTAATTTGAGCACCACTGTACGTTGTCCCGACAAAGGACATCCCGGGGATGTCCTAATATAAAATCAGGGACGTCTCTGGAAAGTCGCTAGGATGTACTGGTGTTGTTAGGGTAAGTTATAGTTACAGTAACTTTCCTCGAAAGGCATCGAAAATGAAATTGTCTCAAAATCATCAGTTTCACTATAAATATGTATATATAGGAAGTATTAGTAATTTATTGGGTACGCCACTGGTTTGCTCGCATCTTCCTCGTTTTGACATAAACTGATATCCTCCGCATCCGTGAAACGTAAATATAATGATATCACGAATGATCCTCGCTTGTTTCTCATTGGCATATGCACTCGAATTACTTACCTGTTTCCTATAGGGAGTAATTACTCCGATATGATCCTGGTTGATTTGGATTCCTTTCACACGGCTCTGCAACAATTTGGATAGATATCCGACAACCTCCTCGATCTCTTGTACGTTGAAGAAACTGGAATCAAACGAAATGGTATCGAATCGAATCTATTCACACTTGATTGCCATAGTTTGTACAGATAGATAGATAGATTTCTGTAAAATTACGATAAAATTATTTGTTTATTAGTTATTGTTTGATGCCTATGCGGCTTACGGTAATCTCATAATGTTCACATACTCCTATTTATTTCGTCGAAATTGGAAGAGGGCGTATCTTTTTACGTACGGAAAGGTGAATATGGAAATACCGGGTGCTCAGAGCGAATTATTGACCGCTATAATCATTTTCACCAAAAACATATAGAACTTTTTTCAGTTCGCCAAATACATTTCTCAATTCGCTCATTCAGTACCCTCCTATCTTTTGACCTTTTTTATTATCTCGATGGTTTCCACTGAACTTTAATTTGATGATACTGCAACGGAACAACAAAAAATATGAATATTTTGAAAAAAGGGAAATAAGGTAGGAATTGGTGTTCTTCTCAAATTTCTGAAGGTTATATGCCTTAGGGTACACCTTCCTTGGCAATGTGTTCCAGAGCCTCGCTGTTCGTTGGATGAACGAGTCTTTGGAAAGAGATGTTCTGCAGTTTTCCAAAGTAACCACGAGGGGGGCGAAGCCTCAACTCGACCGGTTAATCTCGCGGAGACTGCCAAGGGAGGAACAATTGTTGATATTTCAGAAGAGCATCGTCCATGAAAATATCTATAAAATGAGATCGCCAACTTTTCTACGGTGTTCCAGAGAAGTGAGTGAGTTTGTGAGCGAGGCATCACCCACGAGTCGAATTGCCCTTTTTTGGACAGAATCCAACAGTTTCAGGGTATGTTTGGGTGCTGCACTCCAAATATGGAAACAGTATTCCAGGACAGGTCGGATCTGTGCCTTATAGATCATAAGCAGCTGACTGGAAGTGAAATAGCTCCTGGCCCGTAACAGAAAACCAATTTTTTGGGATGCACTCGATCTCACGTGATTTTCCCATGAAAGGTTATTGCTGATAGTTATACCAAGCATCGAAATGGATGTTTTCAAAGGTATGGTTACTCTTGACAAGCTTATGTTGGGCACAGTAAGATCGGCTTTCCTAGAGAAAGGCATTCTTGTGTTTTGTTTGCATTGAAATCTACCAAGTTATTGGATCCCCATTCGAGAATTGTTGCCAAGTCCATATATTTATGTTCAGCCGTAAAAGAAATGTTAGTATGGGATATAGCCTCGTTCCCCTTAAGAAAACTTCAAGAAGTACCTTCAAATGCTAAAGTAATTTGGACTGACTGCTTTGAAGCTTAGGAACTCTCTTGAATCTCATGTTTCCACTAATAGGAATCTTTTTTCACAGCACTATATCTCCAGCGACTTCAGCTATAGAGTTGTTAGTTACCTCCGCCCACATTAATTTCTGAATACTATTATTGCATTTTTCTTTCCTTCATAACGACTGCGGGAGTGCCTAAAAGGTTCAAGACCTTTGATGAAAAGAAGATGTTAATAAACTGTGAAACAATTTGAAAGTGGAAAGTTCTTGTGAGGTGAGCGGAATGAATTATACGGAATTTTTCGCAACGACGTGAACTTTCTAGAAGTAAATGAACTTTTCATCAAAGCTCTCCACTCCAGAATTGAGTATTTCGCGAAACGAAACTTCATTATACGTAGTTCGAAGTTTCAATAAAGAAGTAATTACCACTGGAGAAAGAATAATCTCTGAATACATGAATAGATTTGTGTTGAGTCTATCTATTAGGAGCAAGAGAAATAATTATAGAATGCTTTTGTTATTCACATTCATTGTATGAAAAAAATAAATTCTGAAGATGAAAGGGATAGAGATTTCAGAGAATCATAAATTGAGAAGCAGGAAAGAGCATATTTCATACCTTGACTAGCCGTATTAGGAACCTTCTTATCCTCGGACCTTTGAAGATGTTTGAATTCGCGCTATTACAAAAATTGTAAATGCGCAAATTCGACTCGGCTGTATCAAATTCCCAGTTGAAATTGTGAATAAGTACAAAACCGAGTGAAAATTTGAGTTACATTTATTTTGATAGGAATAAGCTTGTACCCCGCCTAATACATGAAGTTAGGAAGGATACTGATATTACTGATGAATATCACAAGTATATATTAAAAATACATTATCCATTGAGATGTTTTGGAATATTTGAACCTCATGAATAACATTGAACTGGTACATATCATATCGTGTCGACTATACATGACCATAGCTGGAATTGTTTCGATTGGTCAAAAAATGTGTCCTCACCGAAAGTCATGGTTATTTGAAATCTTGGTCTAATTCACACATGACAGTGACAAATCACGTATAATTTGTGTTGTGACATTTTTAGAATTGAAATAATAATCATTATTCCAAACATATTTCATACTAAGAAAGTTGCTTCCAGCTGTAAGGAGATTTGTAGTTTCAACTATACAGTGTGACCCACTTCTAATGAAAACCCCCTGTATCTTACGTAATCGTTGGGTAAGGATCCTGAAATTTGCTGGAGCGAGAAATATACCAAAAATGCACTCTATGACCAAGTGGGGTCGTCTTCAATGATATACACTGCTCGCCAACTGCCATGGAACCACCCCAAGTTCCGGAAAATGATATTAGGAGTCAAAATAGGTCAAAAATCACTTCAGATTCGGGATCAGGGTGCCCAATTCATTAACTATTCATATTATTCCTGGAAAATTTTCAGTTCTGAAAAATTAAATTCTGTCGCACTTTTTACGGAAGCACCCCCGTATCTAACGTATCTTAGAAAAACTTTGAATAACGGCATATTAAAATTACCTGGGAGATGTCTTTTCTCTGGTATCTTGACCTTCTACATGGTGGAACATCATCGGGAACATTTGGTTCTTCAAATGTTCCCATCCGACAAACAGTTCCGTGTAGTGATCTCCGGCAGCTATGAGTTCGTTTCGATAAAAATGTTTGTTCGGCACATGCAAGATAGTTTTGTGCGATCTGTAGTTTTTGACTAGCTTGGTGACGTAGCGGTCGTTGTAGGGTTGGTCTTCCTCTCTGGAGTATATCTTGCAAGTGTCCAGCAATCTCTCCAGCATCGAAGTACCTGGAACAGTTCTAGGTGATAGCTTCTGGGAGCACATTTATTCGATAGCATTTTGTGAGGTACAAAGTGATAGATCAACGATAGACAACATAGAGTTACTGTGGTAATAACAAAAAATACTGATGGTATAATTTTGTGTTCGCATGTAGAGGCTTCACCAATCAAATTTGAATTTGAATTGAGAATTGATGATTTCCAATGATCAGTAAATGCATGCAAATAAGTTCTTGTTTAAATTTGAAAAAAATGATGCAGTCGAAAAAGATTGCTCTTGGGTATGGAATATAAACAATCATAACCCCCTAACGGCGCCACTGGTAGAGAAAATGAAAATTTGTACGCATAAAAAAATGCACCTTGGTGCATAGAAGATATGTACCGAATTTCATAAAGACGTCTGCAATATTATCCCAGTTATTATTAAAAAACTGATTTCTTTTGAAAACTTCATCACCCTGTATCTCAGAAGTTGAGACTTTCGGGACATACGTTAGTGAACAGTTTTTTTTTCTTAAAATTAGTCCAAAAATCCCCCTCTTTAAGGAACACCCTGTATATCCGGGAGAAAAGTACCCACTTTTTTCCCACAGGAATAAAAGTGATTTATGAAGTGTGACACCTTATAACCTGTCAACAGAGATGAAATTTCAAACATTTTGCCCATCTTATTATTTTCTCACTATAATTATACAGGGTGTTCCAAAAAACCTAACGCCCATGCAAAATAAGTTGCGTTTGTTCAGTGAAAAAATATCGTAACGGCATCCGTTTTCATTATACAAGGTGTTGAGAAATTTTTTTTTACACATTTTTTACGATTATTCCGTAACTACTGGCAACATTGTAATGAAAATTTGTATGGATGTTACTTGAAATCTGAGGGCGCTAGTTACACGTTTCGTACCGAGTAGATTTGAACATAACTTTTTTGAGGTTAGATTTTTCAATCCAAATATGATATGAACATCATTTACTTTTACACCAAAAAGGTACTCCTGGTGAAACTCGATACTATGTTCCGTTTTCGGAATATTTCGATTCGAAAATAATGGAGTAGTAATGATGCTGGTATAAAATGAATTTTATTGAGTTTAATTACCCATTTATTCAGGTTTAAAAACAATGAAATTATTCTTGTGCTGAAGTTATTGATGGAACAAAGAATCATAAGTAGAAAATTAAGAGATATTTGACTAGAAACATGAAATATTGAATCAGTTAGAGTAAGTGTTCAAAATATCCTACGTTTCGAGGAATACACGATTCTATATATTTTTTTTTTGAGAATGTATTATTCTCCTGAACAGTTGAGGATCAGCTGTTAGGTCATTTAAGTGATGTTCAATTATGTCTCACAACTATTCACGTGAATTTACCTATGTAGCATTGACTTTCTGCTCAAGATACAACAAAACCTTGTTATCCATGTTCTTAATCAAATCTGTTTCGATGTTATTCTTGTGATTCATTGTTAAATCAATGAGTTTCGTATCAGAAATGTATTGTTGCTTTCCGTTTTCGATAAATAGGTGATAATTTTTCATAATACTCACTCTAATACATAGCTTTATACCAGCAACAGTTACCACTTCATCATTTTCAAATCGAAATATTCCGAAAACGGAACACAGTATCGAGTTTTGCCAAAAGTACCTTTTTGGTGTGTAATTGAATGATGTTCAAGTTCACATCAAATTTGGATTGAAAAATCTAACCTCAACAAAGTTATGTTCAAAACTACTCGGTACGAACCGTGTAACTAGCGCCCTCTATGAGAGTCAGATAGAAGAACAAATGCATGCGATGTGTCAGATTCCAAGAAACATCCATACAAAATTTCATCACAATGTTGCCAGTAGTTTCAACACCTTGTATCTTGAAAACGGATGGCGTTATGACATATTTTTACTGAGCAAACCCAACTTATTTTGCAATTTTCTACCTACCCTAGCAAGGGGGGTAGGTTTTTTTGGAACACCCTGTATAGAATTACCTAATATAATAATGATGTGAAATTTAGTATAACAGTAAGGGATTCATTACTATGATAATATAATACTCTTCACTGAAATAATGTAGACCATTGGTATAATATTATAGTAGAATTTATCCGTCTTTGTAGAAGAGAATTCTACTATGATCTGAAGTGAATTCACGCACAATCCATATGCATTTTTTCAACCTATCCCAAATAGTAATTCATAGTGCTGAAATGTTATAGCCAATATTCCCTATAAAAATTACTTTAATAAAATCGAACTTTTCACTATAAATTGTGCTCGGAGCTATATAGTAAAGAGTTCAATAATTATAGTGTATTTCACAGAAAGCGGACAAAGTCTCATTTTGACTTAAAAATGAGTCTCTTTTTTATGTTCTGGTTCCCATCGAAAACGGATATCCTGTAATGTTCAGAGAACATCGTGAGAACCAAGGGAAATAAGGTGGGAATTGGTTCTTCTTAAATTTCTGGAGGTTATATGCCTCGGGGAACACCTCCCTTGGAAATGTGTTCCAGAGCCTCGCTGTTCGTTGGAGGAACGAGTCTTTGGAAAGAGATGTTCTAAAGGTCACCAAAGTGACCACGAAGGGGTGCGAAGCCTCAACTCGACGGGTTAATCTCGCGAGAACTGCCAAGGGAGGAACAATTGTTGATATTTCAGAAGAGCATCGTCCTTGAAAATATCCACAAAATAGAGGCAGATCGCAAACTTTTCTGCGGTGTTCCATAGAAGTGAGTGAGTTTGTGAGCGTGGCATCACCCACGAGACGAACAGATTCAGGGTATGTTTGGGTGCTGCATCAGGGCCTACTCTATCTATTCAGTAGGCCCTGGCTGCTCTCCAACAACAGTATTCCAGGAAAGGTCGGATCTGTGCCTAATAATCATAAGCAGCTGACTGTAAGTGAAATAGCTCCTGGTCCGAAACAGAGAACGAAGTTTTTGGGATGCACTTTTAACAACAATTGATCTCACGTGATTTTCCCAAGGAAGGTTATTGCTGATAGTAATACCAAGCATCGAAATGGATGTCTTCAAAGGAATCATGATACTGTATTTTTGAACACCCTGTACACTTACCATATCCGCAATGTCTGACGAATCTGGAATGCACTAGAGGCCCCAATTGCCTGGGATCTCCAGCCAAAATGACTTGACCGGCAATCCTTCCTGTGGCTTGCTTACTCGATAATATCCCGGCAATCGGGATCAAAGTTTGGGTTTCCGTGGCGTACCCGCTTTCGTCTATGAATACGTAACTGAAGTGATCTTGTGGAACCCCTCCATTTACTATTCTGAAAGACAAAAATGTCATTCTAAGTGGCATTCGATTATTTTTCAACTAAAAAAATATACAAGGTGTTTCAACTGCCAAATAATTTTATATTGATATGTTATCAAATTTTTCCTAATAGGAATATGTGTTAGCATTATTCAAGAAAACATTTTTTTCCTTCGGAACTATGCGGGAAACGAAATTTTCACAAGAGTAACAAAATGAAGATAATTAATCAGTCATCTTGCCAAAAAAATTGAGGACCCTATCACCAGGGGTGAGGGTGGTTTCAACCCTTCTACAATTTCTTTCAGGTTTCTTGATAACTAAAAGGAGTGTTATTCTCTGAAATGCACTTTTGTCATGTTTCATCCAACTTGTTTCACTCATTTCTGAACAGATCACAAAAATATGTTTTTTTATGTAAACTTTGAACTCGTCTCACGGACAAACGGTACATTCTTCTATATAAATAAGATGGGTCCAATCAACTTCTTATAGCGTTAAATTACACGTGGTAGCCAGCAACTTTGGGATACCTTGTATACAGGTATACCGTTTTGATCGATAATGAATAGTTTCGACACAAAAAAATCCTAAAATTAAAAAATCTCGATTTTGAACACCCTATATCTCTGTAATAATTCCTGTTAGACCCCAAGTGTGACCCATTGATGAAATCAGCTCTTCAGGAAATATCTAAAAATGCAATGAAATACAGGGTGTTCCATTTGAAATAACAAAGTTGCTAGTTGTTTCTGATAGAAGTGGCAACACTGTATCGATAAAAATATTTTAGACGGATAGAGAATGCTCAATTATCAAGACATCCCAATTTTCAGAATGTTCTGTATTTTAGTTCTCCAGATACTTCTAATAGGCCATCCACTGTGGATCACCCTGTGTATACTTGTAAATAAAAATCATTACCACTTACCGTGCTGCTGTGACGATGGTTGTTACCAGCACCCTCCGTTTCAGGAGTTCCTCCATGGAGGGAAAATAGAATGTGCCGTCTGGTTGAACATTCACTATGGGTTTCAGTTTTGCCATCACCGAATCGTTCATGTTGCCATACACGCTTCCCAAGAGTCGAAAGATGTCGCTATGTGAAATCGTATCAACCAATCTGCTGGCTACTTCGTTAGCAGCTGCGTTAGAAGGGGCACATACCATCATACGAGCTGACGGTTCATTTTTCCAGATCTGAAATAGTTATTATCCTAACAAGTGCGGAAAGTTATACTTTCCCGCACGCAAATTCCGTTGACCCAAACGACGCGAAGCGGAGTTCGGGCAAGCAGTCGAGTGTGAGAAAGACACTTTCCGCATGAGTTAGGAACAATATGTTTTCTTCAAGAGTAGGAAATTTGATTTGTTCAATCAATTATTCCTGCAAATAGAAACAACTAACAATAGTGATATATTCTCTATCTTCTAATAATTAGTGATATATCTAGTGTGTGTACTGTTTGAAGCATTATGTAGGTAAACTTATTGCGGAAGCCAGCATGCCCATCATGGTGGTTGGCCTCTAGGTTTCAGACATTGAGCCAAAAATACTTCTCCTTTATTTGGTGTTTTCACTTTTTTACTGAAAGTTTTTCATCGCAATTCCACTGAATCGAAAATTACAGTAACGCTCTGTCTGTCGCTTTGAGAATTACTTCAACTAATTTGTGTTTTGATTAACATGACAACAATTGTTTTCCACATCAGACCAATTGAAGGTTATAGAGGGATTTATATAACAATTAATTTTTATTTTCAAATTTTTCTTCATTTTCACAATGAATAGTGCAATTTGATGGATGACTTTGTACGACCTTACTAAATACTGCAACGAATGAACCTAAAATGTTCATAATATTTTGCGAGAATATTATATAAATGTTTTTCCGCACTAGTGTGGGAAAACTTTTTTCCGCACTACTGCGAGAAAATGACACTTCTCAAACTAAATTGCGTGCGGGTATAGGGTGAATCACGCACGCTTGTAGAAAATAGTTATTATCCTACAATCGTACATGGTTCACCCTATACCCGCACCCAATTTGGTTTGGGAAGTGTCATTTTCCCGCACCTAGTGCGGAAAAAATTCGTATCTGCACAACGTGCGAATTTGCACACGCAAATGTATGCATAAATGTACTACTTTGCGAACGCTCCCAGGAAAAACCTTTCGAGATAACTGATGTATACTTCTCCTATATATTTTAATTTTCATAACAATATTTAACATATATATTGGTAAGTTATTATATTTTCAAATTATAAAACATCATATTATTTTATCCGATTTGAGAAAGAATGTCATTTCTCAATATCAGAGGTTTTTCATTTTTTATGCTCTCCTTTTGGATGTTCAACAGATATTATTCAATGTTCGTCGTGGCAAATAGCCATGAAAGTAGTTGTTTTCTGTTGAATATTCAGAATGATATTATATATTATGTGCATATACATATTTTTATCTGAGAGAGATTGCAAATTTTCAACTTCAGAAGATTTTGTTTTCTTTCAAATTCTTATCGTGTGTGTTTAATATAGATATAATTCAATATACGTCGTGGCATATAGCCAGGAAAGTAGTTGTTCTCTGTTGAATAAACCGAGAAAGAATTGATATTTTCATCGCATAGAGAATGCGAATTCTCATTGTATTTCTTTTTATATATATCCATTTTTTATGTTGATAATTTTATCTGAGAATATCCCCTTTCAATAACTGCACAGTACATGGCTATAAAATAACTATTATAATAATTTTACATGTTCAACAGATGACGTTTTGTTATGAATGAATTGATGAAAATTGTTCGCTATGCAATTTACCAATAAACAAATTAAATTAAAAGCATTGTAATTTGAACCATTTCATGCAGATAGCTTTAAGTGGCTTGAGACATATTCGATTATTGTGTCTTAACACAATATCTGTACTATCCCGAAAGAAGTATATTGTAGTTGTAGAAAAAGTATAGTACAGTTGTACAGCAATTACCCACTTGTGGAGTTACACACTCGCAGCTACGTGGCATCGTGTGTAACCCTTACCATCGATATTGTCTCGATGGTAAGGGTGTAACTCTCTCCACTTCGTGCTTAATATGCGTTTTACAACTCTTGTTATGTAATACACTATTATCAACAGACTGAAATGTCATAGTTGAAATAGACAGGGTGCCACCGAAATCAATACATACTGACCTGCAAGATAGATTCCACCACCGTGACTGTTTTACCAGTACCTGGTGGCCCAAATATGATGTAGGGTTCCGATTTACAAGCGAGAATGTTCCTCACTGCAGATTGCTGTTCATCATTAAGTTGCTTATTGAAAAAGTTCAGGCTGAAAATAAAGTTATTTATTTCATGGTTTATCTACCATCGAACATGTTTCTTGGAATATTTATTGTATCTACATGTAAGGTGTATTTATACAAGCCGCTTTTTCATCGATCTGTAGGTAATTTCACAATCATCAACGATTTTACTAATGAGTTAAATTACAACTAAGTATTTCTGTTCAGCCATGTATGCAAGTAGATCAATTTTTATCTTTCATTGATAATTATTCGCTAAATGAAGAAAATAAAAGTGTGACAAACAATTTCATCCTCTTATTTTTCCAAAATGTGGTTGACAATTCTGAAAATTCTGGTTGCCTGTTCAAATTAGACTGGAAAATAATTGTGCAAATCTTGTATTTCGTACAAAATCGTTTATTCAGTTTGGGAAACGAATTTTGATATGTTTGTACCGTAATTAGCAATAATAATATGAAACGACCAAAGATATTTTCATGAAGAATTTATTGTCAAGAAAAATTGAATATAATGTATTCAAATTCGGTATATGGTTTCATCTTCCAATAGTTAATTTTGACCAGAAAGACATTCCGAGAATTTTACCCCAGAGGTGCGCTACAGAGGGTTGTGATAACTTTTCCTCCCATATTTTCTACGCCACTTATGAAATTTCAATTATTTCCGATTTCTCGAATTGATTGTTCAATTATGTTGAAAAACTGCATCATCTTCAACTGAGCTAAAATAAACAGTTATCGAGATATTTGACCCAAAATAGAAGTTTGCATTAGATTAGAAGATTAGAAAAATTTTTGTTTTCAGTTTATGCGTGGAATAACTAATTCTGTTCAGCTACACAATGGGATCTGAATAGTATCTAATCTACTCATTACCAGAAACATATTTTTGCAATTTTCTACTACAGAAAATGATGAACTATTACTATATGCAATCTTCTATTTTGTGTCGAATATCTCGAAAACTTTTCATTTCAGCTCAGTTGAAGGTGATGTATTTCTTGAAGAAACGAACAATGAATTCGAGAAATCGAGAATAATTGAAATTTAATCAGTGGCGTAAAAAATATGGGAGCAAAAGTTGTCACACCCCCCTGTAGGGCACCACTGGATACAATCTCCGGAATGACTTCCTGGTCAAAAAATTACCCATTCAAAGATGAAACCATATACCGAAGTTGATTGCATTATATCCAATTTTTCTTGAGATATTGCGAAACAACTATTTTTATTTCTCAACTTTAACACCCTGTATCTCGAGAACTGAACTCTTGAAGACCGTATGTCCCTATCTTCGTGTTATATTATGGTCATAATATGATAAACACGAGCACAAATGACATGGACAAGGGTTACACTTGCTCACAACTCGGTTGCCTGCCGAATACTATATGAACCAGTCTTCACACACGTCTGTCATAGGCTCTGATCTGAGCATATTCCACTGAGCAGTAGCGCATCTAGTTGCTAGATGCTAACACACCGTGATTATGGAATCACGAGGGCTATCACCTGTCAAGCGTTGTCGGTCGAATTTCGCAACACCCTGTATGCACGTGCACACAGCTAAGCAGCCCTCACTCAAATTAGACTTTGAAAACAAAAGACATAAGTGACTCTTATTATAATAATGTGAGCAGTGGATGTAAGAGGACAAATATTTTCTTCAGGCTAAGTACTTACGCTGAGGACTATGTTTTGATCATGTAGAAGAGTTTGAATTTACGAAAAAAAAAGTGCATGGAGAAACCAAAGTCATTTGATACAATTATATTAGAGGATAGTTAGAGAAAGCAAAAGACGGCGTAATAGTTCAGTGGCACTCGACTAGTGATCAGAACATCGAAAGGTTGCTAGGTTCGAATCCCCGGCAGAGCAGAGAATTTTTATTCATGAAACGAGTCAAGAATCCTGATTTTCGTAGCCTCGACCGGAAATGATTTCGCACGATTCGCTGTTATATAAGATGCTAAAAGTGGCGTATGGAGTTAGTAAAAATGCCTACACAGAACATACATGGGCTTGAAGGACCTCTCGTAAGGTCGATGGTCAGTTGGTTTGCACACACATACCATCGAAGTACATATACACTACTACTACTGAAAGCAACAGATTAATGGAAAAGTGGTGTGCATATAAATCCACCTGTAGTGAATTATGTAGTGTGATCAAGAACCATTAGATCCAAAAACTTGTCTCACCTTTTCAGAGTACGCTGTCTTTCCTCGATAGGTTTTTCTGGATAGAAGAACGGAATTATTTTGTGATCGTTTGCTAAGTAAAGGGCTTGTTTCTCAACTCTTATCGGTCGTCTATTGAACCCGAATTCGATGTGATATTCCATGTTCGGGATGAATTTAGAGGAGAACCTGAAAGTTATCGATTGATAACGAAATCGAAATAGTAGGTACGGGGTTATCTTTTATATTTTACGCAATAGCTATCTCAGTTGATATTAATAAATCATGGGAACCATCCATCCTTCTCAAATTGGTCCAAATTATTTCAAAAAGATACACCAAGTCGGTCGACCACACAAATTATATTACACAAAATGTGACAGCCAGACGCATTTGTTCACAGTACATGTAAAAACATTTAATTTACAGAGGAACAATACGTTGTTGAGGAAAAACATACGTATAAGATTAGGAAATCACATCATAAGAATGAAATGAGCCGTGGAGTCATTCGAACCAAAAAATCAGTCCAGTGAAGGGATAATTGAATTTTTGAACCGACTGAAGAGCCAAAAGAACCCTACGATCATCATTTTCAACATTGGCACAAAATTGGAAAAATTATTTTTAAATTCACTCAAACATTTCGATGGCCATTTTTGAAAGACATAATGAAGTTCGGAACCTTATGAGTTGTGATAAAATAACAAAATAATTTCTAAAGCGAACAATGAAACAATGAATCAATTACATATAATGAATTGTATACCAAGTTCAAATATGAATGCTTTATTATGGTTATCTTAGTTTTTGAAAAATATAGATTTTTTGGTATGAAACTAAGGCAAGTGTTGAACACCAGACGCCATTGCTGCGATTTCTGGCGTTCTACAGCTGCCTTTAAAACCTATATATTTTACTGACAAAGATGAAGTATAAATATTTGAATTCAGAAGAAGGAGCTCTACCGATTAGGATGATAAAATACAGCGTGTTCCAGCCAAAAAATACCAGTTTATATGAAAACTTTAGGTTAACAATGCTTTTTTGCATTTTCAAGTACTAGATTCTGAGTGCCCATAAAAATACTTCATACTTGCCCATTTGAACGTTTCTGATGTAAGACCAATATTAACGGAGAAAGCCTCGGAGATAGCTACTGGGTAAAATATAAACAATCACCCTGTACATTGTACGAAAGCTACCTGTGATTGAATCCTAGATGCACTGACTGCTCCAACACCTTGTGAACAATTCCTTGGTACTTTTCTTTGTCGTTTTTGTTGAGTTTCAGGAATATGGAATCGTAGACTAAGAGAGACGGTCTAGCTTCTGCTAACCCTGGTACCTATAAAAATCAGTAGATTATTATTTGAATATAATTTGAACAGATTTCCTGATTTCGTTTCAGTTTTATGAATTGTTATTTCATCTCTTCAGGATGAGATTTTACAGGATGATAATCAAATCTGTGCAATTACGCTCTCTTCATTAAAAATATTTTCGACAATGCAGTGTTGCCGCTTCTACTAGAAAGTAGTAGCAACATTGATATTTCGAATGGGATACCCTGTATTTCATCGCATTTTTAGATTCTCCTTCAAGAGCTGATTTCATCAATGTATCATACTTGGGGTCTATCGAAAAATATTACAGAGATATAGAGTGTTCAAAATCGAGATTTTCCAACTTCAGCAGAACAGAGAACATAAAGATAGTCAGACGATTCTTCAAGAAATTGAAGAAAAGCAGGATTTATAGATTGAAGCATTGAAGCGCAGCCGCTGCCGCTGCGGTTGCAGCCGCCGTAGTAGTTCTGTGGCCAACTGTTTTCCTGCAGGAATAGATTTTTGGTATTTTTATCTTCATAATTGTATAGATGGGGAGAGCTCTCTACCAAATTTAAGACTACTCCTATATCAATGTTCTCCATTTTCACTATAATTTTCCAACATTCTACAACGGGAAGCCAAATTTTAATAAAATTATAACATAACCTCTAGACTCTAGTGAATTTTTTGACACAGAAACACAGAACTGGAAATGTCATCTTGTGTTATGTCATTCGTCCGCTGCCTCCGCCGCCGAACATCATAGGGATTCCCTTTCGTGCGCTCCAAGCGATAAAAAAAAAAAAAAAAAAAAAAAACTGCGGCGAATCTATTAACGTGTACCTACATGTTTAACTACACTTTCACAGTTTGAACGGCGGCTGCAACCGCAGCGGCAGCGGCTACGCCTCAAACTATAAATCCAGCTTAAGGTTATACAAACTCTAATTAGTCTTCTTGTACAGATTTGAGTGATTCTTCCAATAGGCGAGTGGTTTATTTTATTTCTTAAATAGAATCATCACTCAAATACCTTTCAATTTCATATTATTTCAGACTTTTCGGTCGATTTTAAGGTGCTAAAATCATCAATAATGCCACGATAATTTTCAAACGGCCAGTAATTTACCGCTAGTAAAAACTGACGCCACGATTTCGTAAGTACGTGCAGACCATAGCAAAGTTGCCATATGTTGAAATACGACTGGGAACCTCAGAAATATCAGTTATTCAGTAATTAATAAATGTTTACTTGAGTATTGGCGATATTCCTAATAAGCAATAAAAATTCAGTTGCCTCAAATTGTTTCCTTATGATACTTATTCACACTAGAGGACATTTGAATCGGTGAACGTGGCAACACGGCGCACGACTTGTAGACGTGGTCTTGTCAGTTCTCAGCATTCAACACATTGTTGCCAAGTCTCCAACATTCACATGATATTTTGTTATGGAGAATAAGACATGTTTGGACATGCTTGTTGCTTGAAAAAGTCAAGAATGAACTATAATATCGTGGGTTCCTCCTATTATGTTTTATTCGACGACAGGACTCTGACATTTTTGGATAACTTGATTATAATTGGTGACTTGAAAATCTTGCTTCATGAGTGGAAATGGAAGATTATCTGACCAATAACGAAACAGCATAAAAAGAGACGTCACCATTTATTCGCAAATCGCCAAATGGCGGCCATGGTTCGTTTGAAATGAGCTCTGAAATTCAACAATATCGAACAAGGCATAGGCTCATTATTTACATAAAAAAGCGTGAGGCTGCTTTCACATGCATCCGTTTTCACGGATCTACGTTTGTGTGTTTTACGTACACAAGTTGGGGTCCCTTCCAGATGGAATTGTTTCGTGAGCTCCGTTGTTATCTCTGTTTTGCGCGAATATCTCTAAGAAATAAAACAATATGGGAGCAGAAAAAAAAAAGAGAAAAGTAAAAAATTTGTTTATATTCGATTTATTATGGAGAGATACAGAATGTTAAATCAAAAATCGTAGATTTTGGACCTATCTTCACCAGACACTTCTCGAAGATTTCATGACGCAAGTGAATAGTTGGCTAGAGGAATGGAGGAAAACGGCAATGAAAACTATTTCAATTATTTTAGAATTTCGCCTGATATGGTTTATCTATTTCTCGGACTGTTGAAGACTTAACTTGAAAAACAACCAAGCACCAGAATAGAAATTACGCTTCGTTATTTGGCATCTGGTGACAGTATGACTTCTATTTCATATCTTTTTCGTGTTGGGAGTTCTAGATTTTCAGAAATTATTCTTGAAACATGCCTTTTGAGGCATTTATAACACATCCATAGTAGTCCGTAGTCCAGTCATTATATCCATATAACGGACCTTACCCGTGAATGATTTTTTAGTAGTTTTTTCTTTCATAGGTGTCTCGGGGGGGTCACTGGGAGTGTAAATTCAAAATGGCGACCAAATCAAGCTCTTTTTTTTTTTGTTGAAAAACGGTTTTTCTTGAATAACTCGGTCATTTTTGATTCTACAGAAAAAGTTTGGAAACAAATATTGTAGTAAATTTGGTTTTCTACAAGTTTGGTCCTTACAATTTTTCTGATAGGATCGATATTTTGTAAATTAAACCTGAAAAAAGCGACAAATTCGAAATATTTTCATTATCTCGTTTATTTTCAACTTTACGGCATAAATCAACAGAAACAAACTTGTAGGGAATCAAATTCTGGACAAATTTTGTCTTCACCTGTTTTTCCGAAAATCGATATTTTCGGAATCAGACCTAAAAAAACGACTCATTCGAAATATCATTATCTCGTTTATTCTCAACTTTACACCATAAATGAGAAGAAACAAACTTGTAGAGAATCAAATTTTGGACAAATTTGGTCTTCACCTGTTTTTCCGAAAATCGATATTTTCGGAATTTAACCAGAAAATATGTACTTACCCATTCAGAAATATTCGCAATATCTCCTCTTTCTCAATTCTGCAGGTGCAACGAATAGGGCGAAAGTTGTATACAATAAAATGAAAATGATAAAGAAAATATTTCGAATTTGTCGCTTTTTTCAGGTTTAATTTACAAAATATCGATACTATCAGAAAAATTGTACGGACCAAACTTGTAGAGAACCAAATTTACTACAATTTTTGTCCCCAAAATTTTTCTGTAGATTCAAAAATGGCCGAGTTATTTAAGAAAAACAGTTTTTTAACAAAAAAACAGTTTTCGAACATACGCAAAAGCTTGATTTGGTCACCATTTTGAATTTACACTCCCAGTGACCCCCCCGAGACACCTATGAAAAAAAAACCACTAAAAAATTATTCACGGGTCAAAGTCTATAATGACTGGACTATTATAGATAAACTACGATCACATCCCACGAAGTTTATGAGTTGTTGACGGTTTAGGAAAACTCGAAAAAAAATTCTCATCACGGACAAATTAAACGGAGGAACTTAATGTTGAGCCAACTGGGTACGTTGCGATTGCCGACTCATCCGTGTCGATTTCTATTGGTCAATATTCATCACATGATTCAACGGATCCGTGAAAACGGATGCATGTGAAAACAGCCTAAGTGTTGAAAAAATTAATTCACGTTCCTAACGATAATTGAATGCCAATATTCAGTATTAGTCCACTCGCCCATTCTGGAAACCGAAACCATTCAAATGACAGTGATTGAAAGTTCATCCAGTAAATATGATATCTCACCATGAGTTCGAACAATGAGTTTCCTTTCAAGGCCTTCAACTTGGAAACCGTATCAAATTCTCTGATATCCAGTTTCATCTGATTCTCCTCTATATCCAGTAACTTTCGCAACGTGTCATAATAATTGCTCGGGTTGATTCCGGGGTATATCTGCAGATAGGCAGAGTATTCTCCGTTGAAGAATTTTTGGCTGACATTCAACCCTCTCTCAGTGAAGCTGGGATATTTCTTGATCAGGTTTCTCAAGACGTTTTCGAAGCCTTGGGAGATTTTGAACGGCATCAAGTTGAGGGTTTCTTTGTAGTATGATGGATATCTGAAAATTAAAATAAACGTAAGTTCTTTCTAATTGGATCGACCACATATTTATAATTATTTTCTGAAAGTTATTTATGTACCAAGGGCTTTTATGGACCGCAGCGTGTAAGTAAGTGTCTGAGCGACAGCGAGGGCTATGAACACGTCTATACACAGTGCAAAAAAAAATAATACCAGTTCACACCAGTTAACACCCATGGGTGTCTCCTGAGGTACTGATTGTTCCAGTGAGAATTAACACTGGTATTTCTATCACCATCATAGAGTGTCATTCGTTCTTACATACAGTCAAGAACTACACTAGAGTACCTAGTGCTAATTTGATCGGTTCGTGTTTTTCAACACCAAAGTGGTGTACTATTCAATCATTTGGTTATTATTATTATTTTGACACTGTTATCTGTTGCGTTTTTGTTTTTATTGATAATACATGATATGTGCATATTTTTCGGATATTTTTCTGATGTGAAAACATATTTATTGAGTATATCATCACGCTGAGAAGCGGTGCGTTTTTTGTCTGCATCTGAGTGTTGAATAACACGACTCTGATATACTATCATTAGTATTCAGTTTATGAAATGATCCTCTGTAGTGAGACCTTACAATATTACAAAACATTCACCACACACCACGCCCCCCGAAAGGTTGAATGCCCAGGATCAAGTGCCGCAATATAACTAGCTCACGTTATATGATAGCTCCTCATCCCCATGTCCATCCACCCCCACTCACTAACGAGTGGACTTCAACCTTATGCATTTGGTAATCTGCATAAATGTTTTATAAAACTCCCTACTTGGTTTCAGTCTCCCGACTTTTAAACCTTTTTGTCTAATGTGTGTTTCCTAGCCTGACATTGCGTGGTGGTTCCCTACCCTAATGGGAAGCAAAATTTGAGTTTACGTATTATTATTATTATTGGTTTTCATTTTTATAGGGTATCAAAGGAGAGACTCTTCTGTTCAATTATCTGATGATTATTATGCAACTTTTATTGATATTGATTTACTTTCGTTTGTTTATCTTATATTTGGTGAATTGGGCGCCTGTACTTTATTCTTCCGAAGCGCGGGTCTTGATTTAGTTGTCTATTAGTCGTGCAGTTTCGGGTTTTCGTGGGTTTCTATTCTTCCGAATGTAGTCTCCGCCTGTTGTCTTTTGTAGTTGTCAATGTAGTCTGGGTTTATGTTCAGGTCCCTATAGATAAATCTATTTGGAATATACCATGGGGCATTTACTGCCATTCTTATTGAGAGACATTCAGAAATGCCTGTATTCGCTTTTTGTATGTCTCTGCGCATTGGCCCCATATGCACTTGATGCATACAGAATTATTGGAAGTAGAATGGTTCTTTTAGGCGCAGCTTCAACTCTAGAGCCATGTTGCTTCTGCGACCTATTAGAGACTGTAGGTTTTGCCTTGCGGCTCTACCCAAGTTTAGTCGTGTTGTGATTTGTTGTCTGAAAGTAAGTTTGTTGTCTAGGGTAACCCCTAGGTATTTTGCCTCATCTGCCCATGGTATCTGTGTGACGTTTAGTATTACGTGTCCTGTGGGTTTGGTACGTCGTCTAGTGAAGAGAACATCTCTGAGCTGATACTATTTTAAGGCTGTCGAGAGAAGAGCGTCGAAGGAGCGCTAGTGTCGCCATCTATCAAGATATTCACTCGATATTTTTCTGTGCACAAAATTATACTGCGATATCCAATTGTATGCGTGTCAATCTGGTTCGATATAAGTGCTCTATAGCTTCGCAATCTCGAAATCATTTGTTCTTATTGTCACCTATCAATCTGAATACCAGAATTCGTGGAAGATGATGAACCTTTAAACTATTTTTATCTATTCTTCAATGATTAGGTTTTCCAGGGGTTAATTTCAACATGAGCAATATTATTTATCCACATGGGAGAACGCAAGACGATGAGTAAATTAAATATTAGCCCCAAGTCTAATGATTCATACACGGTTTTGATTTATTCGTGATGTAACTAAGTGTTAATTTCATATAATAAGTGTATTTTTCGCGTTCACTTGAATGATACCACTATCGAAAGTGATTACTTTTCATCCTTTTGGGGTTTCTTTTGAATGAATATTCCAGAATCCAGAACACAACCGTGTAATTTCTCACTATGAAGGTGTGAATAGACACCACTGTACACGGTATTATCAAATTTCTAATATTGATATAATATTGCTAATCAAGTGTTGATTCAATCGGAGTTATTTCTATTAATCATCCGATTTTTAAATCAAGAGAGCAAATAGAATGACTCACCAGATAATATCAGTAGACTCTGATAATTTTTTTTTTAATTTCAACTGAATTATGGGGGACTGTCAACTTTTTTTTGAATAGCGTCATATGTTGTTTTTTTTCTTTTGATCGAGTTTTCCCTCTGAATGCAGTGATGTATAGTGTAAAAAAATGAATGCTCAAGTGAAAATAAAAAATAATGATCTCTTTTTTGCATAACCTTCTCAACGTATTAATTCTATATTAGCAACTCTTTCAAGTCTTGTTTATGTAGGCCAATTTATTTAATAATGATTCGAAGAACGTTGAAATTGTTCAATTTTGATTATCATTACTGATGGTAGGATAAAAAAGCAATTCAAGAAGTTTATCAGCAAACAACATACACATACATGATCTTTAAGAAATCACTTACAAATCTGGTCTTTTTCCTGGAATTACCATTTCCTCTTTTGGAATAGCTGGAATTTTTGTTGATTTTTGAAAAGTAAAAATTTCCACTGCTTTCAAATCGGAGAATTCTGATACTGCTTCAATCGGCTGAAAACCAGAATATCTGATATTAGTAAAAAGGACATCACCTATATTGTCATTGGTTTTATTGCAGGATAATGTTCTCCATGTGCTGTATAGACACTAATATGACTCACAATTTCCTTCAGGATCAGTTCAGTGTGTCCACTTTCAGGATATTCAACACGAATGACCAGCGGGAAAATAAAAGAGGCGCTGTTCTCGAAATACCCTTCCAATTCGAAAATCAAACTGGTGTCAGGTATCAACAACACCCCTCTCTGGACATTCTCCAATAAGTTGAATTCGGTGATCATGGGATTGATCTTGATTATGTCCTTGATGCTCGCTACAGTAGTTGAGTTGTTGGTAATGCTCAAGGTCACGTTGACTCTCGTTTTGGTCTGTATTTCCAATCGCGATGTCGTGCCATTATTGTTCACATTGTTGATTTCAACGATATCCAGAGATATTTCTTCTGAGAATGTGAACTGGTTCCTGAAATAGGTCAATAAATAAAAGAAAGGAATAAATATTTATACATGGTCCTGCATCTAACCTCCCGTCTTCTATGAAGGGTGTTTCACAGATAAAGGGAAATATTCCAATGGTACATAGGGGTCACCAAGGTGGTTCTGAAAATACCATATTCGATAGGTCTTAGAGTCTTCATAACGGAGATACAGGGCGATTTATCGATTTCGAATAATTATTCATTCGTCTATAAGTATTGAACTACCCAGTATATTTTTCTGAAATTTGGTATGAAGCTTGGGACGTTGAATTCATTCAAGTATCGGGCGAATTGAAAATCCAAGTTCGGCTTCAGGAAAAATTTACATTTATTCGAAATATTAAGCTAAAAGTATGTCAATTTAAGAGTATTAAAATTATGAAACCACTTTCAATTATGAATATTTGATATATTCTTGTTAAATGATCGTTCGAAAGAACTTACTAAGTCTCACAGTCTTTATAACAGAGATACAGGGTGAATTATCACTCGTCCATAAGTATTAAACTACCCATCGCAGTAATATTTTCTCAAATTTGGTATTAAGCTTACTTGGGACGAAGGATTCATTGACCTATCAGGCAGAATCGGAATAAAGGTTCAGCTTCAGGAAAAGACTCATAGTCTTTATAACAGAGATACAGGGTGAATTATCGAATTATAATTATTTGGTATTATTTCCATTCCGCCTGATATAGGTTAATGAATCCATCGTCCCAAGTAAGCTACACACCAAATTTGAGAAAATGTTACTGGGTAGTTTTATACTTATGGACGAGTGAATAATTATTCAAAATCGATAATTCACCCTGTATCTCCGTTATAAAAACTGTGAGACTCAGTGAGTTCTTTCGAACGATTTTTTGACTGAAATATATCGAATAAACAGTATTGACACTGGTTTCATAATTTCAATACTCTTCAAATTGACGAACTTTCAGCTTTCTGTTTATGATTGTTACGATGAGAATTGGTGGCGGGAAAACAAAATGCATCAAATTCAGTTCATTTTTTCCTCCTCTTCACGATTCCTTTGATGAACTCTGTCAATTATCACATACAGTGTGTTATTTTAATATTTCGAATAATTGTAAATTTTTCCTGAAGTCGAACCTGGATTTTCACTATGCCCAATAGGTGAATGAATTCAACGTCCCAAGTATGAGCTCCATACCAAATTTAAGAAATATATACTGGGTAGTTCAATACTTATAGACGAATGAATAATTATTCGAAATCGATAAATCGCCCTGTATCTCCGTTATGAAGACTCTAAGACCTATCAAATATGGTATTTTCAGAACCACCTTGGTGACCCCTATGTACAGTCGTCTTCAGAGATCATGTCGTGGTTGGACGGTGTCAGCGCTCTTATTGAAGGAGATATTAAGTATGCTATCATCGTCCATGTGCGACATGTTTTCTGAAGACGACTGTACCATTGGAATATTTTCCTTTATCTGTGTAACACCCTGTATATTATGCAATGGACAATATTGACGGTATTTGAACGAGAGTCAATTTTACACTTCTGTCATCATGAATTAACCGATTTGAATATTGTGTATGTGCATTTGAAAGTTTTGATCAGAAGTAACGTTCAGAATATGAAGAAGCTTGATATCATTGGAATTCAAAAAGGATAATATTCATTTTGAATTCCAATGATATAATATTATGTTTGTTACTTCTTTTATAATAGTGAAAAAGATACTGATTACTTGGATTGCACAGATTTTTATAGGTATATCGACGCCAAATGACGCATGCTAAAGCCAATTTATTTTACCTCCCACGGGAGTTAATATTCTTTTCTTCCCGTAGGAGTAAATTGACACTTTGGTTTCCTCAAAATGAGGGAGCAAAAGCCTACTTTCGCTTCCTCATTTGAGGAAACAAAGCTACCAATTTACTTATTTTCTATCATTAATAAAACTAGTTGTATTTGTTAAGATTATATCACTAATTATTTCACGAATATATTTCTGAAAATGAAAATTTTATGAATATATGTTATATATTCCAACCAATCAAAATCGTGTTCTTTGAAACATGTCAAAATTACTTCAATGTTATTTTTAATGTGTTTTGATTAGTAATTCGAAATTTCACTTCTAGTATGGACAAACACATTATTTCAAGTGTCCATCGCTGTGATCTCGTTCTGAGGCATTGGGCCCTTGGAAAACAAAATTCACTAGTGGAAATAAATGGATAATTTCTCTAAGTACCGTGGTATGTCATGAGCAGTGTATCCTTATCATTTGAACAGATATTTCTGAGAAAGTCTAGATCTACCTTATCTAAGAATATTAAAACACATTTCAATAATATACGAAAATGTAAATAGCTTGCATGTTGGTGAGTATACCAAGTAGATTAAAATTTGATAACACCACAAAAGGGTTTGAATAGACTCAAGGATACTTATGACTCATAACTGCGATAATGACTCATTGTTACTCACTTGTCCTTGACGTATTGTATTCGAACTTGGTGGTTTTGACACTTCAAGTGATTCTCGTAAGAATTTTCATTCGTGAAATTCAAATTGCACAAAAGGCATTTGCTTTTTGTAACGTAGTTGGTTTCTACAAACTTTTTCTCCTCATGGGGAACTTCTTTGCCTAAAAGAATCAATAAAAATTTTGAAAGTCTTGTTAGATGTGAGGCTATCAAACTGTGAATATATTTTATATTCATTCATACGCCTTTGTGAATGTGAATTAGTTATTTATACTTGAAACAAGTTACAAAATAAATGTATATAAAGTTGAGCCCGTTACACTTCAAGGTTTCAACTTTGAAATATGATAATTGCAGAAAGATATGTCCCTTGCGAAATTGAAATCGACCTGTCCGAGCGATTTTCAATTTTTTTAATGACATCGGAGATTAGGGGGGTGACAAGTTCTAGCTGGGACACACTGTATAAAGCTGAAGGGTTAGTTAATCATAATATACCTATTTCAACTTACTTCCATCTAGATTTTTCAAATAATTGACCCATCGTTGATCGAAATACACTGTTTTTCTGGTGAGATGATTCACATACCAAAAATACCACAATTCCATGAAAAAGTCATCGAAGGAACGCCCAGTTTGGCTTCTGTATTCGTCCATATAAAAATTACGAACATCTTTCTCCTTAGCAACATAGTTTGTGATGATCCCTTTTTTCAAAAGGTCAACTATGAAGTTCTCTGAAAAATAAACCATATAGGGACCACGAGTTCTGATTCATCAGGGTCAAGGTAATTCGTAGAAAATTCTGGGAAATTCGGGAAGATTGAGGAAATTCGAATAAATCCAAAATAGCAGAGAAGTTGGTATACCGAGAATACCGGGTGGCTACGGAAGTATTGCCTACGGAATATCTCAGTTATTGTATGAAGTAGGTTTGTGAAATTTGGAGCGTCGATATGATGACATAAGAGCTAGAATTTGAGCATATTGACATGTCGAAGTTAACTTCCGGTCTGACCGGAAGTAACATCAACTTTCTTATTTTAAATGGAAACCCTATTTTTCTCTCTTTTCGCTTTATTCAGCATTCAATTTCCTTTCTAATGACATATCACAAGACCAGAAACTAGATCAGAAAAAAATTATTATTGAAATTCACCGAGTAGGCCGTGGAAGCGAAAGGAAAGCCAAAAAATGACTTTCTATTATATCATTAGAAAGGAATGGTTAGGCTGAATAGTACAGGCAAGAAAAAGTTGTATGTTCCTATTTAAGTTATGAACCTACAGAGTATTGTTTTTTCCCAATTTTTCCAATATTTTTTTTTGATGGCTTTTTATAACGCCGACGAATGAAAATAAAATATCACAGTAGTAGCAACTGTTATCAAGTGACGTATGGTTTCCATAGCCAACTTTTCAATTTTTGGCTTTCATTTTGCTTCCACGGCCTACTCGGAGAATTTCAATAATAATTTTGTTCTGATCTAGTTTCTGGTTAGATACCAACTTGTGATATGTCATTAGAAAGGGAATGAAATGCTGAATGAAGCGAAAAGAAAAACAAATAGGGTTTCCATGTAAAATAAGAAAGTTGATGTTACTTCCAGTCAGGCCGGAAGTTAACTTCGACATGTCAATATGCTCAAATTCTAGCTCTTATGTCATCATATCGACGCTCCAAATTTCACAAACCTACTGCATACAATAACTGAGATATTCCGTAGGCAATACTTCCGTAGCCACCCGGTATACCATAAGTGAAAACTCAATTCACAAATAAAAGTTCCTTGTTATATTCTAGTAAAATAAACGATTGTCCTAATTTTCTTCGGTTTCCAGTTGATTTTCATAATTTTGAAGTTGGAAATATCAACTATTTTCTATGATCACCCTGTACGAGCATTCATTATGGCAAAATTCAGTCTAATCGGTAATTCACAAGTTTCACAAGTTCTCAAAATTTCAAAACGATACCTAGTTATTATGGACCGATACGATAATCACTTTTGAAGTTTGGTGTACATCATCAGGGCCGATGTACCTACTTCGTAGGAAATTCGAAACAGTCTAATTCGCAGGAATGTTGATATACAGAACTTGTATCATTAGTAGATACTTCAATTCCGATTAGGAATGTGTATGACTTGCTTCGGGAAATACAGGGGAATCTTCGGATTTTTCCGTAAACCCCTTGAAATCATGCTTGGAAAATCTCTTATTTTCTCTAAGTTCAAGTCGTGCCAATATCATGAAGTTTTGTTGATTTTGTTATCGCTTGTCATTTCTTTATAATAGAGCTGAGACATCGATTTTCGCTCACCCTGCTCATTCAAATCTGAAACACCCTGTACATGAATTCATTGGTAAAACTGCACTTATCATGTGATTTTGTTTTTTTTTCTGAAATTTTTTTCTGGTACTTTTGTCTGAAAATTGTCTTTTGGATTATATTTAGAACAATTTGCCCTTATTTTTCATCATTCACAATTTATATATCACATTGTACTTCAATGACACATTTTTTTCTATTATATGAGTAAACTAGACATACTATTTTCTTGCGATTTATCCATATTTAGTGAAAAGATGGAAGAATATCATTGAAAATGATGGCGTGTGTAATGCCATTCAAAAGCAATCTGTTGACATTTGACATCTCCTATTTGGATTGATTATATGGTCATCATCTGGTATGATTCTTCACTAAATATGAAAAACTCGCTATAAAAATCATATTTCGTGTTGAATTTTCTATATAAAAATGTGTCATTGATGTACATCATGAGTATATAAAGTGTCAAAAGACAAAATAAGAAGAACAAGTAGCTCTGAATGCATCCAACGCAGGGGGAAAAAGAAGGTGAAATTTCGAACTTATTCTTGAAATATCTCGATAAATAGTGGTGTGTTTTCAGACAAGAGTACATGAATAACGAAAAAAAATTTCGAAAAAAAACCAAAAATATAACAACGAATATAAATGAAGTCATCTCAAAAAAAAAACTTAATAATTATTGGTATTTTCCACCTTCTTTAGAAGTGTCATTTGATCGCATTATAGTCCGAACTTAAAAAATGGCCACTTACCGAGAATATCCATCTTGCAATAACTGCTTCAAACACAACACAATAAAAAATACTGAATAATGAAAATATCACAGATAAACTTCTTGAATGGAGCTCAATCAAATGCAATCACTGAACTAACAATTATTAGGTACTCATTTCAGGACAATCATTTTTATATGCATGGGTAAAGGTACGTACAATTGTGGATCACCAGTGAACCACAGAGCTTATCTGGTTTTCTACAAAAAAAAAATACCCAACAAAAAACATCCAGCACTGTAGATATTTGCGAAACACCAATCTGTATTCATTTGTCGTATAGTCGAAATAAGTGATAAGATAAAATTGAAAGGTTCGGTTGTTAGCTATTCAAACTGGCTGGATCAACCATACCAGCACTATCATTGAAAATTCAGTGTTGCCAATACTAGCAATTTTTATAAAATAATTCGAAATATAATATGTATACTCGCAACAGGTTTTCAGGAGAGCTCTGAATTTCATCAGTTGACCTAGTAGTTTGCAAATTATTTATAAAAAAACGCCTTGAAAATAGTATTCTGGTAAGTCGAAGTATTTGCTTGATCTCATCATTTTCAAAAAAATATTGCTATTTACAATTCGTTCGATACGCTTCATATAGCTGACGTGAATTTTTCACCTGATGAAGATAATGACGTATAACTCAATCGTTCGAATTTTTGTCCAAATTTTAAGGAGTCAATCAAAGGGCATCTCAAAGTATTCCAAAAAATTTTCGTATATATAATCTTCGCCTGTTGGAACAGGATGAAATAAACTGCTGTTCTTGGGGATGATCCACTAGTACATCGAAATCCTTGAAGATTTTGCATGAAACCGTAGATATTGCCTAGCGTAAAAGTTTGACTCTTTCGCCAAAATATGCAAATTTTGGTAAATGGAAAGGACACCAATAAAGAAACAACTTTTTGTCAAATATGTAGAAAAAACTACTAATGAGTATGGACAATGAAAAAATCCATATGATGCGAGCTTTAAGGGTAAATCTGATAGATACTGCTGATTAATATTAGATAGGGACATGGGAGTGAACATTAATTTTGGTCCTTGATTACTTTGATACCAAGTTTGTTTGATACACTCTTCAGGATTTTTTAAGGAATCATGGTATAGGTAACACCAGCCACTGTTCTAATCACTCATATTGGACAGTTTTTTGGACAACTTTGTGCAAAGATGAAGCAATTTGTGAACATCTGCTTGCATGGTCGCGTTTTGGTGAACGAGGCTCTAGCAACCTGATCCAAGTTTTTTTTTTATGTACTGGTTCCCACTTAAAGGGAAATCCTGTAATGTTCAGAGAACATCGTGACAACCAAAGTAAATAAGGTTGGAATTGGTATACTTCCTAAATTTTGGAGGTTATATGCCTCGAGGAATACCTCCCTTGTTAATGTGTTCCAGAGCCCCGCTGTTCGTTGGATGAACGAGTCTTAGGAAAGAGATGTTCTGCAGGTCTCCAAAGTGACCACGAAGGGGTGCGAAGCCTCAATTCGACGGGTTAATCTCGCGGGGATTGCCAATGGAGGAACAATTGTTGATATTTCAGCAGAGCATCGTCCATGAAAATATCTATAAAATGGAGCCAGATCGCCAACTTTCCTACGGTGTTCCGGAGAAGTGAGTGAGTTTGTTAGCGAAGCATCACCCACGAGACGAATTGCCCTTTTTTGGACAGAATCCAACAGTTTCAGGTTATGTTTGGGTGCTGCACTCCAAATATGGGAACAGTATTCCAGGACAGGTCGGAAATGTGCCTTATATATCATAAGCAGCTGACTGGACTGACTGGACTGGCAGCTCCTGGCCCGAAACAGAAAACCAAGTTTAGCAACCGATCTCACTTGATTTTCCCAAGAAAGGTTATTGCTGATAGTAATAACAAGCATCGAAATGGATGTCTTCAAAGGTATGGTTACTCCTGACAAGCTCATGTTGGGCACAGTGAGATCGGCTTTTCTAGAGAAAAGGCATGTTTGTGTTTTGTTTGCATTGAAATCTACCAAGTTATTGGATCCCCATTCGAGAATTGTTAACAAGTCCATATTGATGTTGTCAACATTTCTTCCTCGTTCGTTTCTGATTTGCCTGGCTGGTATTGGAGCCCTGGAAGTTGCTTCCAACAAATCGTTGATATGGAGTAGAAATAGTGTTGGTGCTAGAATTGATCATCCTTGCGGAACACCAGCATTTATGATGAGTGTCAGATGAAACTCCATCGACCGGTGACCAGGGATGAATGGCATCGAGGGTATGATTTGGTGTCGATAACAGAACCTCTGGAAATCACAGAGTAATCAACCTCAGCCTTATCCGAGGTATACCACAGGGCTGGACCAACCCTTTTAGCGGTTACTCGTAGGAGAAGGAAATCTTTTGACCCTCTTCATAGACGAGATCAGGACTCGGTAGTGTTGGGGAGGGTTCAGGAACCTGAAGGGAAATGGTCTTTCAAACGAACCTTTGGTCCTGTGAGCGACAATGCTCACAGTTACTGAGATTGAAGAAGCCCTTATACATACAGGGTGTCTCGTGACTCGATGGCCATAGCTTAGGGGTATATTTCCCCAACAATTTCACATTAAAAGTGCCCTATACACTTTTGTCTAATATTCAATTTAAGTTTAAGTTAAGGTGTCACCTGACCACTATTATCTTTGGGGACCCATGAATAGTCTAGTGTATTCGAATAAACCAGAGATGAGCTGATTCAGAATATTATGGCTACAGATGCACTCATCCTGAGAGACGACCCAGGTACTCTTCAGAGAAAAACGTTTTCAATAATGAGACAATTTAGAATGTGTTGTGAAGTAGCAGGGGGGCATTTTTAAGAAAAACCTCAATTCCTCAATAATTAATAAAATATTACATGGTGATGAATTTTATCCAACTTTCTCTTTGCTTCATTGAACACTGTGTTAAATTCAATCTTGCTTATTACTCCTCAACTTTAGATATAGGGCACTTTCGACTTGGAACTGTTGAATGGGAATTGAGTCATGGGACACTCTGTATAAGAATCATGGGTCGTTTATGGTAGAATCAACAACGGCATATTTGAGGTTAGATACAATAGACCGACAGGCCTAGGTGTCAGACTTCAGTAAGACGAGCCTTAGAAAGAGGTGGAGTCCCCACACTACTATGTGAAGAGACTAGTCCATTTTGGTGTTATCCATGGAAGACTTCCTCCAAGAAAAAAGAAGCACCAACAGAACATTTCGAGTTGTACCTTTTCAAGGATGTATGAGAATATGATAACTGATAAAATTTGTTAGAGTGAATATAGAATTGAATCAGATCTAGTACAAGCTTTGGCAACATGGATATAATTAATACCATATGATTACCACACGACTAGTGCACTCTGTTGTGTTTTCCGTCTGAAGATGGTGACCTTGGACCATGGCAGCGAGATATCCAAAAATGCTAATAGAGTATCCGGTAGAAATCAGATATCATGCGAATACCTAGGACACGGAATCGGACTTTCCTAGAATGTAATCGTATATGCCAATTGACCTTGAACTCAACTCTTCGAAATGCATACATTGTTCTCCAGTTGAATGACGGTATACTGTAATGATCGCATGCAACGGTGAAATACCTCCTGGGGTACTGACATTTACCCCTAATATGGATACTGTGATTGCGCGCAACGGAAGGATTAAGGCAAAACAAATTCTTAGACATAAATGTACTACTTCAAGATATATATATTCTATGACATTTTGTAAATTCTTATTGGTTGAGGACAGTATAAATACCTACAGAAATTACCTCGGAAATCACAAATTACAATATTATATTTCGAAAATGGAGTTTATGTTGGAAGGTTCATTTAGGCCGAGCTAGGTTAGATTGCTTAGACAAAGTTGTCTCCTTTGTTATGCAGGGCGGTAATTTTCCTTCCTTATATATCTAAATATAAGGCCAAGTTGGGTTAGATTATTTAGAAAAAGTAGTCTCCTCTTCTTTCGCAGAATGGATGTCTTTCTTCTTTATATTATCTATACAGGGTGAGTCATAAGAGTATTGGACCATAGGCAAAGGGTGGATTGTTTCCCTCATTAAAATATTGCTGGGGAAAAAAGTTACAGGGAATTGAAGTTGAATATTTTTTTGCGTTCTATGCTAATAATTTCATTCTCTATTTAGAATTTTGCAAGATTCAGATGACATTCATCAGAATTTTTCAAATGGAAAACCCTGCATTTTTATTCAAAAATTCATTCCGACATGTTTCGCCTTTTTATCGCTGGAAAAGAAAACGGAATCGGTTGCGGCGTTGTCAAGTTATGGTTAATTTCCTTATTTTTACTACTATTTCGTGGTAATTTGTACGTCATAGTTCTCTCATTTATTTGTATTGTGGAAATATTGCGTTGCTACGGTATAATCAAATTTGTTCATTGGACATTCATATATTTTTTCAGAAAAGGAACATTTACAGGCACTCCAAGTTTGCATTTTTTTCGCCACAATCAAATATATCTTGGATAGATTCGACATTTTGCTGAATTCCCTCCCAAAAGTTTGTTTCATTTCGTTTACCATCTTCAAGGTAAATGGAGATTTGGATTGTGGGAATAACGACAATAAAAATGGCCCAAATTTCAAAAAAATTTACTAATTTTCGCAATCCGCATCTTCATTGTTTGTATTGTAGAAGTTATTTCAAAGACAGGCGTTGCTTTTGGCATGTTTGTTTGTTTCACCTATTATTTAAATCATAAGTAACAAGATTACGGAATATTTCAAATTTGGACGACGCACATATCACAAAAATACCTGAATGATCTATGTAGAACTTCGAATGTCATGTGGCAAGCAATATTCCCACACTCAAATCAAATTAAGAAACCATCATGACGTACAAATACAAATTATCCCGAAATAGTAGTAAAAATAAGGAAATTACTCATAACTTGAAATCGCCGCAACCGATTTTGATTTTTTCTAATGCGATGAAAAGGCGAATGATTTCGAAATAAATCGGTGATGAAAAATACAGGGTGTTCCATTTGAAAAATTCTTATGCAGTACCCGCCTATGGAAAGGCATCTGACTCGACTCATATACTTAGTGACTAATATAGTTTTATGTAATGTAAACGGTATAAGGTAGGATTAATCATTATTCATCTAGAGAGCGTAAAGACAAGTGGTATTACTGAGAAGCTGATTATAAGTGTTTATTGTACGTCTCAAGTTTATCATTGCGATCCTACCCCAAGTAGCATACTACATCAGAAGTGGTGAACAAACA